AGGACAAGCAGCAAGAGGAGGGGGAGGACCATGAAAAACAGGAATCGCAGAGGCAGACAACAATGTCGGAGGCCCAAGTAAACGCACTAAATGATGAGAACAGGGAATTTGAGGAGAAAATAATAAATTTGTAAAAAATTGCTTAGGGCCAGTTGAAGGAGATTGAAGCAGCAGCACGGTTGAAGGCAAAAAACGGGGCTAGAAGAAGGGTTATTTTGCCATGTCGATGGAACGAGAAACATGCGGATTGGGAAGTAGCAATTCAACGCTCTCTCCAACTTATCACAACACCTGTTAGCGCTTGTGCAAGCAAGGATTTGCGAAAACTAATTGGAGAGGGAGTATCATCTCGGACATACGTATGAGGGGATAGGAGAGAGGAGGCAATGGAAGTCGGGGAGGAAGAGGCGGTTGACTTTAGACCGCTGCTCATGCGTATGGGGGAGAAGACGGGTTTGAGGGAGGGCCTAATTTGGATGCCTTGGCAGGTGGTGGAAACCATCCCCTACGGGTTAGTGGGAGGGGAGGTGGCAACAGAATGGGTAGCCCGTAGTGCGGCAGTAGCAGTTAAGGTGGATGCCTTCGAGTGAAAGCCAGACTTATTGGAAAAGAGGATAAGCCCAATGTCAACAATGATGAATATAGATCTGATGGGTTCTTAAAGTTAGTAGAAAGCCATGACATGGAGTAGGTCACGTCATCAGGGGTAGTCAACTCATGGAGGATAGGGGGGAAGGTAGACTAAGGAAGCAGGTAAGGAGAGAACAAAGGAGTCATGCGCCCCCGAAAATTAAAATCACATCATGGAATGTAAATGGGTTGGCAGGGGTGTTAAACAATCAAGATAAATGGCAGAATATAATCAATTATACGGAGTGGTTTGGTGCCTCGCCACCAGACTTCGTATGCTTTCTAGTAACACACCTCACAAATTCAAGCGAACATCAGCAAATAAAGAACAGGATAACACAAAAGCTTCAGAGGATCAAAGAGGCTTGGTGGGCACCAACAATCACTCCTCATTCGGCGGGGGTGGTCATACTTCAAAATAATAGATCGCAGGCGGAGGGCAAGATAGTGATGAACAACATTACAGTAGATGAAACAGGAGGGAAATGGGTGAAGGTTAACTTCGAGTTTCACGACGAGCCATACATGTTGTTAGAAGTATATTGTCCCAACATATCCCAACGGAGGGTAGAGTTTGTGGGACAGCTTCAGGACATCTTAGAGGAAGATAGGCACTTAATAATGGCAGGGGACTGAAATGCGACCTTAGATCCTGGTGTGGATAGATTGGCTGCAGGAGGCAGACATTGGGAGGAAGGCTTGGCAAAAGAAGCCTTGCCAATCCACAGTATGATGACATGCAGGGATTTGGTGGACCCATACAGATTGCACCTCCCTGAGGAAAGACAGTTTACCTACTTGAAGAGGAACCGCAATCAACATGTTTCAGCATCAAGAATATATTATTTTTTGACATCATCAAGCATAACTAGCATGATACATTCGGTGGGCATAGGAGATTTGCCGTATGAGATAGGATTGGATCATAAGCCTATTTTTCTCCATCTCGTTACAGATGAACATATCAAAAGGGGTAAAGGTTTTTACAAACTAAATAACTCACTCTTGCGCACCATGGAAATGAGGCAGGCAGTGCTACAGGTGTGTAAGGCACACAACCCGGATGTGCAGCCCTTCCCAGAATTGCTTCTCGCACTCTCCAAAGTGTCATCAGGAGTGGCTAAACAGTTGGCGGCTAAAAGAAAGGAAAGGGAGAAGGAATTACAGCAGGCGATAAGGCTAGCGGAGTGCAACATCATCAACATTCCAGGACATGACATTTACGAACGGGCGTTGGAGACAACACGAGGGGAATTGGCAGAATGGCAGCGTTGGAGATCAAGAGGCCTGCAAACTATGAAACACCCGCAGACGCGTCCGCGGGGTCGAGCTCGGATGGCGGACGTATATACGGCCGCGTTCGCGGCTGATCTCGTCCGCACCATGGACTCGAATTTACCATATTTTTCCTGAATTATATAATGGGTAAAAAAATAAATATATATATATATATATGGGGTTGTAGGGATCTAGGGATTTTTAATCCCAACAACCCTTTTTTTTTTTTTTTGGAAAMAAATACGTTTTTCGAATTAAAAAAAAAACAAAAAAACAAAAACGCGGAGAAGAAAAAATGAAAAATAAATAAAAAAAACAGTTTTTGTTTGAGGGGGGGATTTTTGGTTGGCAGTTCTTTTTATTCTTCGTTTTACGTTTTTTGTTTTTTTGTTTTTTTTTTCCCTAAGTAAGCAATCAAGGAATAGAAAAAAAATATATATATATTTTTTTTCCGGGGCCTTTTAATATTTGTGTGTG